TATTATTATTATTTTTTTTTTTTTCTTTAATGTGAAGATATCAGTGGAGATTTCTCATTGAATACCGTAAAAACTCCGCTGTAAATTATTGGTAAAATCAGCAATGTCAAACTTTATTTAATATATCAATATAAATATGCGGTAAAAAAAAACAAACACCTGAGTACCTGAGTATGTTGCGCTTTAATCAGCTGTTTATTTCCCTCTCGGACGCCACCTACCCTCCGCTCTGGAGCAGTAGGACACTGCCTGTCAGCCTCTATCAGAAATCCCTGCTGACGTTGGAGCCTCAGTCTATTGTGGTAAGAAAGTGGAGCCCTGATTGGATAACACGCAAACTACGTCACTTCCTGTGAGGCTGAACCTCATAGAGGGTATATGGAGCAGGGGTGGGTCTCGAAGCTGGCTGCTGGATGCTGATTGGCCAACATACTGAAGGATTTCTGACTGAAAGTGGCCAGACAGCTGGACGTTTACCTCGGGAGTCCAGAGGTAAAGTGATCATTGAGTCAGAGCAGTTGTCTGGTGCTGAAATGTTGCTGTGGTTACTGGAGTTTATTATTTCACAGCAGCTATTTTCACCTGTTGTGATGATGTGTTTGATGGGATCTTTAGGGTTAATTAATACCCTGTTCCAGAGAGCAGCAGCCGCCACTGGAAGATTTTTTTTTTTTACCCATTTTTTATTTTCTTCACATAAACGATGTGTATGCAAAGGGATGTTGAGACTACGGTGCATCTGAAGATCTGAAGTGGATTTGTTTCAATTTCAGAGAGAAAGAAAATGACTAAATACAAACTGAGAAATGAAATCTAAAGTGGGCAAAGATGCCCGAGTTCCCAGTATCACCCAGACATGTCTGTACCTGCGGGGAATGTCCTCGTCTGCGTATTTAATGGAGACGGAGTACGGTCCTTCCATGGACGGAGTGTAAGACACGCTGTGGGTCCCGTCCCCATTGTCCGTCACCTCCACTGGTTCAGCCAGTCCTTTAGGGCCGTTGACGGCCACCGCCAGAGGGGCCTCGCCTGCCTTACTGCAGTCCACAGTAAAGGATTGTGGGATGTTTGCCCTGACGCCCGATGCCACGCCTGGACCAGAGACCTTGACCTTGCTGGAGTCCACCACGCCTTTCACTGGGACCTTAAATGGACTTCCTGGGAAACAGTGATTGCAGAAGTGATTTTAAATTCAAAAATGAATCGGCATCTGAAGCTGACCACTAGGGGACCCACCATGTATGTGCAACAGCAAAGCAATGGAGCAGGGTTTCTCAATGCTGGTTTTAAGAGACCATGTCTTTGTGTTTAGATGTGCAGAGAATAGATCATTGGTAGCCAACGCTGCAGAAGCCTGCCATCCACCAGCCCACTCAAGTCAGGTTTGAGGAAGCAGGAAAACCTGCTAAAACCTTCTAAAAACATGCAGGACAGGTGCAAGGAGCCCTGCTAACTAACATATAAACTTAAAAAACAGTCCCCTGAGATGGATTGGTCATTGAGGTCGTCTGCAGGGAGAGTCAGCATGAGGACTTTCCTTACAGGATGATCAGATCATCAATAGATGGGTCATGGTGGGTCATCCATAGTGTGGTGACATGTGGGGTCCTGTCTGTGGCAGTGGTAGCAGCCGGGGGTGGCAGGGGTGGGTAATCTCATCGCATAGGAAAACAAAAAAACAAAAAGTCTATCATTGAATAGGGCTCCCTAAGCACACACCCCTCCAAATTTCACATTTAGCACCTGGCTGCAGGCGGCTGTTTAAAGGAAAAGTCGCTCATATTCAGAATTCAAACTTCTGAAAGTTCTTTAAATCTGAAATGATTCCATCCTGTTCAATAAATGATCAGTGTTTTTAATTCAGAGT